GCCACATCTTTCGCGGTGATGCCTCGCTGATCACAGCTTCCGCACACCACTCTTGCTCCTTTCGTCTTCCGGTGGTCCTCCACTTGGTTGCGGATCGAAAGGCCGACCTCCCAGAAGGACACCCCGCACCCGTGTGCACAGCACGCAAGGCGCTCGCAAAACACGCCCCAGACCACCGGCATCGCGCAAACACTTGGACCCCCTACGTATCTGCTACCACCCGCGCGCGACCCCGCACCCTCACACAAGACGCCGCTGGCCAGAAACTCCTGGCCTCGCGACACTCACAGAAGGTGTCGGCGGATGTGGCGCAAGCCTGCGCGCGGATGTGGCCCCTGGCGCGCGGAGCGCGCCAGGGGCGGCGCCGAAAGCGCCGCCAGGGCCCCGACCCGAGAAATCCGCGTGGACCTCAGAGTGTTGTGTGAATGTCCGTGTTTTGTGGGGGGGTCGGGCATGTCCTCCTACAGGCGGGATCAGGAAGAAACATGAAACATGGTGTACGTCTCTTGTTTGGAAAAAACATGTGTGCACACATAGATGAAGTTAATCGAAATACTGATGATGATGATGATGGTGATACTGATGGTGGTGTTAATGATGATACGAACAGGCATAATAATGATAATGCAATATCAGTAATCATACTATGAATGTATACTTTACTCATCATACTAAGAATGCGAATCAGATAATTAGTCATACTCAGAACCATAATCATAACATGAATAGAACACTTGTAGTAATACGGAACATCACAGAAATACTTGCCATAATACAAGTCATCATCAGAAGAGAACGAAAATTCGTTCCCAAACTATGTCCGTGCTATTCTTGAATATTTACCCTGTAGAGAGACATGCCCGTCTGAATGCTTGGTCCCTGATCCAAGGCTTCCACGAGCTGGTACCGAACCAAACGGCTCACCCGACGGTGTGGCCACCACACCGCTCTGCGACTGCCGAGCGAGGAGGGGCATGGGCCGGGGGTGCGCCCGTGCACACACACACACACACACACACACACACCCAGATGAGCGCTTTCGTAGTCGGCGTTTCGACATTAGGCGGAAGGCATGGGGGTGGGGGTCTGGCTCTGGACCTCTGCTTCATGCCACTGTTTCCAACAGGGCGTCCACTGCAGGGGAGACTCCAGCTGCTCGAACCAGGCGCCAGAAACAGCCAAGATCTACTTCGGGAGGTGTGGGGGGGGGATGGGGGTATGCGAGGGCCCTGGCCGATCGGCAAAACAACAGGTAAGAGAACGACCACCGCCCAAACATCCGGCGCTCCAATTGTTGGATGCGTGGGCCCTTGGAGGTCTGGACCGCTTCTGTGGGCCAGTGTTCCTGCCCGATGCGTTCGTGTGGACGGTCGGTCCCTGGATGGCGGTGAGGCACGGGTGAGGGGCCGATGCTCAACCACCAATGCCCCAGGGGTAAGACGTGGGAGAGGAGAGGATTGGGAGGTCCTCCTCCTCCTCCTCCTCCACCACCTCCCCCTCCTCCTCATCCTCCTCCCCTCCCCTCCCTCCCTCCTCCTCCTCATCTCCCTCCCTCCCCTCCTCCTCTCCTCCCCTCCCTCCCTCCCCCCTCCTCCCCTCCCGCCTCCTCCCTCCTCCTCCTCCCTCCCTCCTCCTCCTCCTCCTCCCTCCTCCCTCCTCCTCCTCCTCCTCCTCCTCCTCCTCCTCCTCCTCCTCCTCCTCCTCCCAAACCGCAGGCCCGGATTTCGGGCTGGGGGGTACCCATCGGTCGGAAGAAGCAGGTAGAAGCATAACGTAGAAAGGCGTTGGAAGTAGATTGGGTGTCCACCCGCCCCCTGAAGAGGACGAGAAAGGTGAGGCCACTCGATCATTGAAGTCGGACGGCGCTTAAAGTAGACTGGAATCTGGGACTCAAAAAAATACCGAATTTCAACGACCGACGGGTACTCCAGATTTCGTAATAAAAGGGAGGGGGTCTCATTTCGGGGGGGGGTCTCTTCCAGGTCATCTTGGAGGGCCTGGGGGGGTCTGGGGACGATGTTTTGGAGGGCTCTCCCGCGGGGGGAGGTCCGAAATGGCTTGTCTTGGAGGGTCCAGACCCCCTCTCTTTTATTACGAAATCTAGAGTACAGGCTTCATATGAGCGACGATCAAAACCGGGTCTTACGCGAGATGGCATAGCGACCTTACGCCGCGGCTTGCGCGAGCCGCCCGCAAGGCACGCCACATCTGGAGCGAGGGCGCTCACGCGCGACCTTACGCGGGGAGCTTACGCGCCAATGTCGGCGCAGTTTGACCCGTTTGTTTTCGTCGCTCATATGTGTTTTTTTCCATGCTCCCCGACCCCCCTCGGGTCGGGCGAAAGGGGGGGATAGCAAAGGGGGGGTTTGAGAATCAGCTCACGTAGCTGATTTTCCCGGCGCCTCCCGGCGCCGGAGGCGGCCATGTATCGAGGAATGGGCCCCTCGGTGAGGCCGAAACCAGCTGCATGCAGCAGATTTCGTAGCCCCCCCTTTCCCAAACCCCCCCTTTCGCCCGACCCGACCCCCACACTGGAAATGGAGGGTTGGGGTGGTTTGGTGGACGGTGAGTCTGCCGGCGCGCCCTCCATCAAAGTTGGCACTGGAGTACGAGTAGGAGACTGACTACAGGATCGACTTCATTACCACCAATATTGATTTCCCCCATGGAGGAGGCTACAACGAATGCACCGAGCTGTCGCAGATGATTCGTAGGTTCGGCGAGGAATTAGATTTTTGGGCAAAACCAATATGAGGTCGATCTCCCACTCGATGGAGGGCCCCGAGGGGGGAGATCACGTTATGCCAAACAGACATGGGCACGATGCTCAACAGCAAATGCTGAACAAAACCGACAGCGGCCGCTGTTGGGCAGGCGGCCCTCTGCCTCGAAGGGACGACGCCCGCGGCGACGCCGACTCCGAGTCCTATTCAACACGGACTAGAGATACGGTCGACCTTTGTCCCCATTCTTCCCGCACCCATCTTGCTCGTGCCAATTGGCGCTGGTTTCCGACACCGCGTGGACAGCTGTAGCCCTGGGAGATCGCGGCTCTCCGACGGCGCCAATCGCTCAACGTCGTCCAGCTCCGAGGCCCATGGCGGCGTTCCATCTTGAACGCGAGCTCTAGCGCTGGGGCCGCCGCCGCATCGACCACCAGCGCTACGCCCCCAAACATCCGACGTCGTGTTTTATTTCGCAACGCGGCTCCCCAAAGTCTGGACCCCGTCCTGCGAACCTGGTGTTCATACCGAACTGATTTGCTTAGTCCCGGGACTTAAGGCCGCTGTTTTTTGGCGGGATCTAGGTCATAGCACTGAGAATTGGACTGTACACGTAAGCGCTACAAATCAGCTGGGCACATACGTCTGGTCTCGCCATGGAGGTCGAGCGACTCTATATGCGGGTGCAGGCCGTGTGAAGCGCCACGTGTCGCACAAAAGAAGATGTGCAAGCCATGGGGTGCAAGCCAGGTGGTGCAAACCACTGCAATAAGCGTGGTGCAAGCTATGCTTGTGGATGCCATGACAATGGACACTCTAACAATCCTGTCATTGAATTGAAGATGTGTTTAAAATGTGAAAACATGTTATGGACATGTTTCAAACATGCTTTTTTACATATTTAGAACAGTATTGACACATCTTTTAGACACCTGGAAATTAGTTGGCAGCACGCTTCCTCTCCATCAATCGACTTCCACAGAATTACGCGCGCACCTGGTACGTGAGCCAGCGCACCAGGCGCCCACGATGCTCCAACGGGCGCCTACGGAACGAGAATCAGGAACCCCAGCCAGCGCACCGAGCGCCCACGAGGCGCCCACGGGTGCCCATTTGCGCGGAGACCCCAGCATGCATGCCAACGAGTTCGTAGAGCAAGCAAGCAGCAGCCCCTCGGTGCAAGAGCTGCTGGGATGATAAAACTATATCAGGCCAGGCGTCGGGGAGGACTGCACTCCAGGGAAATGGACGGTGCCGGCTTCCGCTGGGAAGATGCAAATCACGCCCTTCTCTGGGAAACTCCATTCCAGCAGGTCGACGTGGAGATGCCCAAACCTGGTGCAGGCAGAGAGCACGCTGCCGCCACCTCCTCCCACAATCCCCACCCTTCTCGCCACACATGTGTGTGTGTGTGTCTGTGTCTGTGTCGGTGTATGTGTATGTGCATGTGTGTTGTGTGCGTGCGTGCGTGCGTGCGTGTGTGCGTCCGTGCGTGCGTGCGTGCGTGCGTCGTGCGTGCGTGCGTGCGTGCGTTCGTGCGTGCGTGCATGTGTGTGCGTGCGTGCGTGAGTGCGTGCGTGCGTGCGTGCGTGAGTGCGTGTGTGTGTGTGTGTGTGTGTGTGTGTGTGTCATGGTTGCGCGTGTGATTTCTCCGATCAGCTCTTGCCCTGAAGGGGTCCTAGCGGATATTGCAAGATTTGGCGAAAATCCATGGCTGAATTCGGTAGCCAGCTGGGTTCTGGGGTGCCCAGTTCCGGGTTCCCGGGTTCCCGGTTGCTGGTTCTGGGCCGACATCGGGATCCCACGATCGAGCTCACCATCGATCTCATGATCGATCTGACTATCCATATCATTTTCACACCGTCCACTGATTGGGGTTTTCTCTGGTGTAATGTATCCCCCCCCTTTGCCCAGCGATCTGACCACGACGTCAGCCTTCGCAGAACCCATCTCGATACTCCAGGTGCACCACTGTCGCAACACTCGACCGCCAGCAGAGCAGCCCGGAAGCCTCACAGCCGCCAGCCTGCTCCACCTCGAAACCGTCCCTCCCCCCCAGAGATCCGACGTTGCGAAAAAAACATAACACCGCGAACCAAAAAAATCACGACCGGAGTTCCTGACCCCATTCTTCTGTTGCGCTTTCGGCCGCTTCGATCTGTGATGGTCCAGGGTCCCGAGGCCGAGCGAAGACGCCTGGCGCAACATTAAAAAACTTGCAACGCCTGGATCGCAGGGCCTTGGCTCACCCAGTGCGGGCAATCTCAGGCCGAGCACCTCCAGGGCACAAGGACAGCGCGGTGGCGTGGTCGCCCTCGTCGCCCCAGTCGACGCGAGTCACCTCTCGCATGCCAGCTGCTGGCGCCGTTGCTGCCACTGCCGAGTGCACAGGACGCACAGAGACATACAAATACTAGATGTCCTCCTTGGAGGCGCGCGTCCGACCCGAACAGATTGTATACCCTTCTTGTAGTATATCGTTTCCCGAGCGGTACGGTTAGAAAGCGCCCGCCACGACGCAGATACTATAAGATTTCTCGGTTCGCGCGTCGCCACTGGGGGGCGACGCACGCAATAGTATTAGTATACTGGGGTGCCTCCGAGTGCATGCTGTCATCGCTTCCTCTTCTGGATGATATCCGCCTCATCCGAGGCGCCCTCGCGCCGTGCAACGACGAGACGGACTTGTTCTTGTCGTTCACGGCCTCTGAGAGCCCTCCCCAGGCCCTGGCCTCGCGACAAAAGTACAGTAGGAGCTCTTCCACAAGAAACCTTCCACAAGAAACCCAACCCTGAGGACCCAGCACGTCCATTGATTTTGGCACGGGAATGTCACGTGCCCCATTCAAAAAGAACATCGAAAATCAAACAATGTATCGAAACCCAAGAAACCTGGTAACCTAGGGCATCCTGGACGCAAGCAGGGTTTGTGGGGGGGGGGACGCCGGGGTGACGCGGACAGCCGGTGGACATCGACACACAGGTCTCGTCGTGACTCTGCAACAATTCACTGCCGGAGCGCATCCCGCCGAAACAGTGGTGCTGGATTGCGAGTTGCCGCGTCCACACGCCGATACCACCACACATTCGTTCCCGCGGCTCCTGCGTGAAACCCGGATATCGCCACGCACGCGCACGCGCACTGAAACCCGGATATCGCCAAGCACGCGCACCGTAACGGCCCGGACGTCCACACAGGGGAGGGAGGAGGAGGAGGAGGAGGAGGAGGAGGAGGAGGAGGAGGAGGAGGATGAGGAGGAGGAGGAGGAGGAGGAGGAGGAGGAGGAGGAGAAGGGAGGAGGAGGAGGAGGAGGAGGAGGAGGAGGAGGAGGAGGAGAGGAGGAGGGAACAAGCACAGTCAACAACTCGCGCGTGCGTAGGTCAACAAAGGAAGACCCCCGCGAGCACGAACAACGGAGGGAAGGAGCGGGAGGGGAGGAGGCAGGGAGACGAAGAGAGGCGAAACTGAGCAAGGCCTTGCGGGTCGTCGCCAACCGACTCAACCGAGTCCAGGCGCCCAAAAGACCTACTGCGTGCTCTCGGGGCGCCGCGCGAGTTGGCGACGCGATGCGAAATCTGCATTCAAGTAAGACCACGCGCGCGCTTCGCGAACGCTTAGGTTCTACCCATGCACAAGCATCGGATGCGTCGCGTTGCGAATGAGGTGGGGATCGGTTGCAGGAAAAAACGATGGATAACTGATGACTCAGTGAGGACCGACAGGCAGATCATCCACCCACTGGCCCTCGTAGCCATCGGCCCTCTCGATGAGAAGGATAAGTTGCAGCATGATAACGAAAAGCTCACGGCCAGAGCGGGAATGGAAAGACGCAGACATCACCCTCGAACCTCGATCGTCGAACGCCGATGAACCGTCGAGCGCCGATGAACGACGGATGCGATGTGGGCGAGGACGACAGGGGAATCAACGCCGACAGACGACAACTACAGACGACAACGACGACTGCGACGATGACGATGACGATGACTACGACGCAACCCTGCCCTGCGAGCCAGCGCCGCGGTAGCCGTGACCCCCCAAAGTAGCTCAATTGCCTTAAACAGAGATTCAGACAACAGATCTCGCAGGAGCCAGCGCTTGGGTAGCCGTGACCCCTCAGAATAGCTCGCGGCCAGAACGGGATTAGTACATCGGAGAAGACCCACTTCGAACCTCCCATCGTCGAACCTCGATGACCGACGGATGCGTTGTGAGCGACCCCTGTGGGATCGTCTTGGGACCCTCTAGGGGGGAGCAAAAAGGTAAGCGAACCGTATTGGAGCGCTCTGGGGCCGACCCAGAGGCCACTGAGGCCATACTGGAGCGACCTATCGCCGTTTCGAAACATCTGAAGCGTTCCCAGGACCCCGCCGTTGAGGGCAACTTGGGCGCGGGCCTCCCTCAGAGCCGCCTTGAACGCCTCTTGGGCTCGTCCTTGTGGTCTTTGATGCCGTTTGGGGGCCCTGTTGGGTCGTCTTGGGCCCCTCTTGGGTGCCTCTTGGGTCGTCCGGGAGCCCTCTCGGGCGCCAGTTGGAACGGCTTGGGCCGATCTTTGGGCCTTCTTAGGCCTTCCTGGACGCTGGAAAGAAACGCAAAGCCCATGTTTGAAAAATACAGACTTCCCATTGGATGTTGACGATTTTGCTTATTCATGCCTTCGTGAAGATCCGCGTGGAGCTGTGCTGGGCCGTCTCGGGGGGCTCTTGGGCTGTCTTTCGGCCCTCTGGGAACTACTTGGCTTGTCTTGGGCCGTCTCGGGGGCCTCTGAGGCCATATCGGGGCGACCTGTGGCTTCGAAACCGAAGCCATGTGAATCGCCCTTCCCGCCGGGGGGGGCTAGCGCGGGCGCGGGCCCCTCTCGGAGCCGCTCTGTAAGCCTCTTGGGCTCGTCTTTGGGATCTCTGGCGCCTTTGGGGGGCCCTGTCGGCTCGTCTGAAGGTTTTTGTTTGTTATGTTGAAAAAAGGCGAGCGTCAGCAACCCTTGGACGGGAGCATGCGCAGTGATGGTCGCCCAAGGCGAGACAACCCCCGCCTGGCAACGCGTGGACCACATCGTGGCGCCAACGGCCACCAGTATTCTAAGATGCCTTCTGCCGTGCGCAGCAATCAAAACAACAAATGCCCAGGGACGGCTGGGGGTTGGGCGCCAATGGACACACAACCTCCGCCAGGCCACACGTGCGAAGAATTCAGAGTCTGTATCATTGGGCTGGAGCACCGAAAGGCTCAAACGCGAAAACGGCGAGGGTGATATGAGGACAAATGCGACGCCTGATCCGTCTACTATGTCTCCTCCGTGTCAGGCAGAAACGCCAAAAGAAAAACTTCTTTGCCTCTTCGGGTCCTCTTGGGAAACCTCTTGGAGGCCTCTTGGGTATCTTGGGGACTCTTGTGCCGTCTGGAGGCCGTCTTGGGCGTCTTGGACTGTCTATGTGGCCTTCGGCCCATCCCGCCACCGAGCCTGGGTTGTGGGTTAAAGGCCTCTTGGAAGTTCGTTTGGATATCGTGGGAGGCCTCTCGGGGCCCTCTGGAGGCAGTTTTGGAAACCTCTTGGGGGCCGTTTGGGGGCCTTTTTTGGAACCTCTTGGGGGCCTCGTAGGGCCTCTAGGGGGGCTCTTGTGCTCTCTTGGGGGCCGCTTGGGGCCTCAAGGCTCGAATTGTCGATTCGTGTTTCCTCTCTTGGGCCCCTCTTGGGGGCATCATGGGGCCCTCTTGGGCGATCCGTTTCGGAGCCCTCTTTTACCGTCTTGGGGCTCTGCTGGGGGCCTCTTAGGCCGTCTTGGGGCGGGTTGGAGCGTCGGGAAGCCACCCAGAAGCCAGTTTTAAACTGATAGAATAATCAACACTTGTTGCGTCTTGGGGCCGTCTTGGGACGCCTCTTGGGGCGTCTTGGATGCTTCTTGAGAGTATTTGGACTATCGTAGGCGTCTTGGAGCCATCTTTGGCCGTCTCGGGGCCCTCTTGGACCATCGTTGGGGCCTCCTGGGGCCGTCTTGGAAGCCTCTTGGGCCGTCTCGAGGCTCTTTAGAGGCCCCCGGGGTATCATAAAGTGTCCGCAGATGATTGCGAAGTGGCCGACCCCGGGCCTGGGGGGGGTATATTTCCGATCTGTGAAACCGTCGCCATTTTCGAGGGCTGCTGGGGTGGCCAGCGGGTTGACGCCCTACGCAGACTCAGATTAGACCTCGCCATCCCTGGGGGGCTGCGATCTGTGAAGCTGTCGCCACTTTCGAGGGCTGCTGGGGGGTCCAGCGGAGTGACGCCCCACGCAGACTCAGATTGGACCTCGCCATCCCTGGGGGGCTGCGAACTGTGAAACTGTCGCCACTTTCGAGGGCTGCTGGGGTGTCCAGCGGAGTGACGCCCTGCGCAGACTCAGATTAGACCTCGCCATCCCTGGGGGGCTGCGATCTGCGAAACTGTCGCCACTTTCGAGGCTGCTGGGGGGTCTAGCGGGGTGACGCCATACGCAGACTCAGATTAGACCTCGCCATCCCTGGGGGGGTGCGATCTGTGAACCTGTCGCCACTTTCGAAGGCTGCTGGGGTGGCCAGCGGAGTGACGCCCCACGCAGACTCAGATTAGACCTCGCCATCCCTGGGGGGCTTCGATCTGTGAAACTGCCGCCATTTTCGAGGGCTGCTGGGGGGTCCAGCGGAGTGACGCCCTACGCAGACTTAGATTAGACCTCACCATCTTTGGGGGGGTGCGATCTGTGAAACTGTCGCCACTTTCGAGGGCTGCTGGGGTGGCCAGCGGAGTGACGCCCCACACAGACTCAGATTAGACCTCGCCATCCCTGGGGGGCTGCGATCTGCGAAACTGTCGCCACGTTCCAGGGCTGCTGGGGGGCCAGCGGAGTGAGGCACCGCGCGGATCTGAGCGAGACCTCGTGCTGGGGTGGCCAGCGGAGTGACGCCCTACGCAGACTCAGATTAGACCTCGCCATCCCTGGGGGGGTGCGATCTGTGATACAGTCTCCATTTTCGAGGGCTGCTGGGGGGCCCAGCGGAGTAACACCCTACGCAGACTCAGATTAGACCTCGCCATCACTGGGGGGCTGCGAACTGTGAAACTGTCGCCACTTCCGAGGGCTGCTGCGGTGGCCAGCGGAGTGACGCCCCACGCAGACTCAGATTAGACCTCGCCATCCCTGGGGGGCTGCGATCTGTGAACCTGTCGCCACTTTCCAAGGCTGCTGGGGGGTCCAGCGGAGTGAGGCACCGCGCGGATCTGAGCGAGACCTCGCCGTCCCTGGGGGGCTGCGATATGCGAAACTGTCGCCACTTTCGAGGGCTGCTGGGGGGTCCAGCGGAGTGACGTCTTACGCAAATTCAGAT